TTTGTTTTTTGCAGCGCGTAAAAAGGTGGTGACTCCACACCTCGATGATTTTTTTTTCTAGATCGCGTTTCTCTCTCTAGGAGTCCATTCCCAAAGACTTTAGGCGTGGGTACTAATACAAATATAAATAAATATCAACCAAACTCACTCTCTTGCCATTTTTGTCTTGCCTTCGTCTCCATCTGAAGTTTATTTTGTTTTTTTTTGCAGCGCGTAAAAAGGTGGCGACTCCACACCTCGATGACGTCAATTGTAAATATATGTTTTTTTAAGCGTCTCAACTTTTTATTGGATCTCAAACAAATTTGGACCCCCCGGCACACAACTACACATATTAAAACGTTGTCTACACGTTTTAGAACTACGGTTTATTTTTATTTTAGGGCTGCCATTACGCAAAAGGGTGTGGTCGCTAAATGAGTCCTGACGACAACCGGAAGAAAAACTAAATTAATCTTTTTGAAGTCGATACCATTCAAATTAAAATAGGGGATGACGCTTTTTCCCTTATTGAAATGTGGTGCATTTATAAAACTGATCAAGTCCATTTGTTGTACACTAGAATTCCCCGTATGCAGTTGTAGGTGGGACTTTTATTGACATTATCAGTATGTCTTGGGCCACATTTCAGTGTTCTAAACCGGAAGTGACCTGGGTTTTGACATGTTTAACTCACCTGTGCCACGTTTTGCCCTTCGTCGATCCACGGTTGTGCTCTAAAAGTGTCTGGCTGAAGGGCGCCGTGCGGAACGGGGTGCGTTCCGACCCCGGACAGGTCCCTGGACAGGTACAGGGCGTCGCTGTGGATGGAGGAGGACTCGCTCTGCGCCGTGGCCACCCGCCTGACACCGGCGCCGCTGGGCCACGGATCTGGAAGACATTTATTTTTTGGAAAGTAAGGAGCCATTAAAAAACGACCTCACACCAGACCAAACCAGAAACCGGGCCAGAAACTGAAGTTAGTGACTCCAGGAAAATCTGAGGTGTCCTTAAAAAAGACAACAGGACGCGTTGAGCTTATATTCTATTGGCGTATAAATGATGCATGTGGTGTAAAAGCAAATTGACTTGTCAGGTAGACCAGAGACGTCCTATATAAGTGCAGTCCATTGATTGAAGTGTATTTTTACACGTTGTCCTGTCTGTATTTGTCTCCTTTATCTAGCCAAACCTAATCAGCCATTTTGAAACATACAAACTTGCTTCCCCTTCTTAACACTTGCCTTCCCCCTTAGAAATTTTTAACAGCAGAATGATAATATTAGGCCTAAAAAACCTGTCCTAATAACTTGTTTTTTTTAAGCAACGCCACTAAGACTACCTCCAGGATCAAGTATGCTTGAAACTGTCAGGATGAGAACTCGAGGCAGAACTCAGGCGCAGAGATCTTTGGCAAAAAAGGTTTTAATTGAACCAAAAGGGCACTCACAAGGAGTGGATGACAAGGAAAAGTTCAAAACAAGGCAGACAAAACTGTGGACAAGGTATCAAATAATAATCACTAACAAAGCAGAACAAAATAAACTCACTCTAAACAGAGGATGGCAAACGTTACAAAGTACGAAATCAAAAACTCTCCTATGAGGTATAAACATGGCTTAAGGCGAAAAGGATTCAAGGATTTACTCTGGCTTGGGTTGCTCAGTATGACGTAGAACGAAAACAAAGAACGAAGGACGAAACACACTGGCACCAGACAAGGAGAGACTCCGACTATTTAAACACAAGGGAAGGGAACCCCAGGTGAACACAATTGGTGATCAGGGGAAGACAAGCAGACATGTGACACACAGGGGAGTGCAAGAGACCTGAAACAAAGGGATGTACCTTACAAAATAAAACAGGAAATGACGTGACAACCATGGAGACAGGACAAAACACCAACAATTCCCCCTAGATGTGACAGAAACATGCTTGAACAGGGATAAAAAGTAATGTCTACTTAGATAACCAAGCTAAGTAATTAGCACCACGGAATGAACATAGATCCCAAAAGGTCTAACATACAATAGAATTGTCTTTTCAATAAACCCCAACTAAATACAAGGACAAACAACCACACGCACTCACTCCTAACTGCAATTTGGAATGTCCAATCAAGTTAACATGCAGGTTTCTGGACTGTGGGAGGAAGCTGGAGAACCTGGAGAGAACCCAAACAGACACAGGGAGAACATGGAAACTCCACCCAGAAAAGTCCTGGTTCCCCCAGGGACTCGAATCCAGAACCCTCTCGCTTTGAGACGATGGTGCTAACCACCACACCAAGATCAGGACAAAAATGTCAGAATTTGTCCAAATTTCTGAATGAAAACGGGTCTAACAGACCAAAACACCACTTATTTTGAAAACTCGAACACATCTGTTACTTGGAGAGACAACACCAGATGGGAAGGTGGGCCGGGGGCTTTAGACATATCTAGGCTTCTTTGATAATCTCTCCATAATCTCGCGCAACCCGCTAGCTATGATGAAGCTTTTAGGGGTCAAGCGTCTTGCTCAGAACCATCACAAACCTTGGTATGAAAATCGAGAGCCTAATTCATCTGCCCCTTCCAAGCCGAGGACATCGAGGTTCCCCGCCCGGGCTTTTCATATCTCCGTTTCCTCCTCGGCCTGCCGATCAGTGTTGATAATATCAGCGAATATGCAAAGTGGCCCGGCGGAACTCAGTCTCCAACTGTGCAAAGTAATGCACGTGTCAATCAATCCGTGCCCCTCAAGGCCTCAAAGTCTAACCGTCAAAGCCGAAAAGCAAAGGAATAAAAGCAACGGTGATTCACAGACGATACGCTCGGCAAACGAGACGGAAAGAAAACATCCATAAACGACTTGTTGCTCAGTGTTTGGTGCTACTTTTACCCCGGGCGGCTCCTCCGGGGGAGCGTAATTGCAGCTGTGCCCGAACAGATTTGTCTCCGTCTGTGACAGTCTGACTGTGTTGCTGTCAGGAGTGACAACAGATTGCCGTTTTTTTCCCCCCCTTCTCCTTTGTAATAAGGTTACCGTGTGTGTGTGTGTGTGTGTGTATGTGTGTGTGTGTGTGCGTGCGCGGTTATTTTAGGGATACAGACGGATACAGACAGCTGTAGCCATAGTAACGCACCAGGCCACGTGCGGCGCTCTCATTTAAGTACCACGGACAGCTCCTCGCTTCAGAGCTTTCTTCTGTATTTCTCGTCCAATCCCATTCGTTCCACAACTGAATACACTGATATTCTAAAAGGCAAGAGCTGTCCCGATAACTACATCCTTTCAGGAATCATTTTTGAGGCTCAAGCTTAAAGGGAAGTCGAGGGAAGCTGGAATGTTTGAGAGACAGGGGTTGCTTCCAGACTCTCTTTCTGGTTGGTGGGGTAATGAATGAGAACCCCCCCCCAGTTCGATCAATACGAAACAGGACATCATTGAAAACAGGGATCCTGTGATCAGATTTTAAAATCCTAAAGAAAAAAAAAACCTTTGTCCCACTTGAAACCAGTTACCCAATAAAAGTAACTAGACGTGCTTCCTATTAAAAAAAGAAAAAGCTCCTCTCTTCGCCTTAAAATTTTACTTTAAATCACAGAAATCTGGAAATCACCTTCTGTTTCACCGAGCGATTGTGCGAGCTAAACACTCTCTCTATTTTCACACTCAAAAGGGACAAAGAGCATCTTTCAGGGAGCAGATAATGGGCAGGAGCGGCACGGCACAAAGACTTAATGCGGAGGCTTTTATCACACGCTGTCTCATCTCCGGCTCGCTGATTGTATGGAAACTTCTGCCAGAAAACCCCGTCCTGTTCGCTCTCGTGTTATTAAGTGCCGATGAGAGAGGGCGTTAATGCGTTACAGCTGTAAAGATTTGAAGCTTTTTGTTATTTGGGGAGCGTCGGCCGAACGCTGTGCCCAGACGAAATTGGAGACCTTCCCAAAATGTCAGGTTTTCCCTACGGTGGTTATTATCATTTTATGGGCCAATGAAAAGCTGGTTCAACATCCGTCAGTTTCAGGTTCTCTCGCATGTTTCGTATCCTAAGATTCAAAGAGTTTTGGGAGAGACCACAACTGGCTTTTGAAAGCAACTCATAGTAAGGGGAGTTTTTTTATTTGGTGTGGTTTAATTCTATAATGACAACTTACTTTTTGCACGTAAACGCAGAAAAGCGTCATGTAGCAATACATGATTATGAATCTTAACGTTTTAACAGGCTAGTAAAGTTCACGTCTGGTGGGGAAACGGTATTTTTTTTCCTTTTTCTCTCCTTTTAAAAGGATTTTTGCTCAGATTACCACAAGGTAAATATTATAGCTCACCCAAACACAGTCACTCTGATCAATTTTATGGATTACAAAAGACAACAAATTAAAACAAAAAGTTAGAGCTTTCTCCTTTCTCTGCAGTTTGCTCTGATCTCTGTTATTGGCATGGCCACTCATTATAGTAGCTGTGACAAAGTGCTTAAATGAACACAACAAGGAAGTTTTTCCTTGCCTGTGTCGCCTAGTGCTTGCTCATGGTGGGAATTGTTGGGTTTCTGTAATTAACTTCAGAGTAGGGTCTGACCTGCTCTGTTTGAAAAGCACTGTGAGACAACTGTTGTTGTGATGTGGCGCTATATAAATAAAATGTCATTTAATTTAATTGAAATCTTCGTTTTTCTTCAAATCTACAATCTCGTGGGGAAAATCTCCACAGAAAATGGAAGAAATCACAACAATAATAACTCCATTTGACCCAATGTACCTTGACAGGCAGCAGTCATCCAGAATATGGGGGGGAAAAAGCAACATTGGTCCACAGATTAAAACGTCAAAACAAACCCTGAAATAAATGTACATTCACTCCACTTTCTGGGACGGAAAATCCTGTCATGCGTGTGTGTTTTCACAAATGAAAGTGAATCCAATTTACATCAGGGGAAAGTGTTCCACATGCTCAATGCCAAGGCTTAAAACAGATCAAATGGTGTCTTTTTAGATGACAGAACCGAAATGCAACAAGATCAAAAACAGAGTGAATTCATGGTACAAGCATCAGTCACAGCTGACAAGGGTTAAATGTAATATACATGTTTATATATATATATATATGGTGAATGTGATATTAATAGCAGTATGATCAGGGGTTTCAATAATAAATGGTTACTGGTTTGACAGCTGATAATCTCCTTTAGCAAAAAAAAAAAAAAAAGATTCATAATTTTGTAACAGCTAAATCTGTTCTAAGCCTGTGTTTTTCTCTAAACTATTTTTGCTTCTGCCAATTTTTTCCATTTTCAATACTATTTATTCATATTTTGGAAAGGCGAGTCCAAAAAGAACATCCCAAAAGGGCCATTTTCAGTTCACAATGTCAACATGTGACAGTTTTTATTGACATACTGTTCTAATTATATCCTGTAAATATGAAGTGAAGCATTTCAAGCCAATTTCAATAGTTTTGTTTTTTGGGGCAAAATGGAGAAGGCATATTTGTCTTAATCTCAATATGAGTTTTTCCATCATTTACGGTTGTAAACAATCAAAAAGGAGACTAGTCTGTGCAACAGCTCTAATATAATTACAGGTCATAATAGGGATGAGGGATCATAAAGGATAAGGCTTTGTTACACAAAGGTTTAATAGGTTTAATGATAAATCCTGCCATGCCAGAGTCAGCCATTCACACCCGAGCTTTTCAACAGACCAGTAGAAATGTTGTTTGTAGATCTGAGGGTCGTAATTTGGTTATTCTAAAATGAGTCGTCTCTTCTCAAAAGGTTAAGCCCGGAGCCTTTTCGGGCCTTCATGAGGAACGTCAGCCTCACTGCGGCCAAAATGACCCGTCACCTGTTTTACAATGGAGTGCAGAAGCAGTCAGTCAGACTAAACTAACCTGGATTAACCCCCCCCGGGCACCACCCCCCTCTGAGCATTACGCAGA